CAGGAGAGGAAGAACTTACCATGCCACACAGGCAATCTAATCAGCCTCAAACATTACTGACACCTTCAGACTTACTAGAAATACACTATTAAAATTCCCTATTCTTGCGTTATGCCAGAAAATTATTTTTTTCTTGACTTCAGAAACAAACAAAAAGGCTTCACATGACCAGTCAGACTCTCCTTGCTCTTCCTGGTCCTCTCAATTTCAAAGCAAACATCTTCCTTAAGTCCAAGTATTAGAATAGAAAATGTAAATGCCTTAATAACAATAAAGACACAATTTGATTTTAAATCTCAACTTTTGTGACTTATCAGAATATATTTGGAAAATATGATTTCTAAGAAATTTGTTGTAATTTAAAGGCAAAATCTGGTTTCTAGTTACCAAAAGAGGCTCAAGAGAGGTATTTGGCAGTTTCTCTGAGCAGCAGAAAAGTAACGGGGCCAAACACAAATGAAGAAAGCCCAAGCTAGGGCTTCCAACAGCCACCAGAACTGCAGATCAAAGTGATATAAGAAAGGAAAGTCAGAACTACCCTGTGTGAAGGGAAAAAAATTGGCTGAGAGAAATGTTCTATAGACTAGAGCAAACAAAAGAAAATTACTTAAGCACTTGCTTTTCTCCCCATTTAAGATACCTTTCTCAAACAGGTGTGAACTTTCACTTTCATATTTTGTTAAATCCCATATACATTTTTGTGTGTCTCATTTCTTTGACCTACTTTTGTCCTTAAGATAGGTAGTTTTTAAAAGTATCTGTGCATGTGAGAAAGAAAGAGAAAGAAATATGTAAGATTTAACAAATCAATATTTATTTAGGACCTATTATGTGCAAAGCACGTACTAAATGTAGAAGGTGGAAATTACTGCGAGAAATTGGAGAAACACATATTACATCTCCAAAGTAATTGGGCAACTGGTTCTATTACTTCTCTTGGAGTTGTTATTGAAGTTACTTACAGCAAGGGCATGAATCCAGGACAAAGAAAAACACAATTTTCAGAAGCAAATTACAAGGGATGGTTATTTCTTCAAGAAAGTAGTAGGAGAGCATTTTTATTGTGGTAGTGGTCCCACAAGTCTGTGCATTCGTCAAATCCATTAAGTGCATTCTATGTATGTAAGTGAATATTTTTTTAAGAAAAGAAGGCAAAGAGGAGGAGTGGGAGGATATTTCCAAAAGGATGGAAACATGGATGAGTAACATACAAATGCAAATATTTTGGAGTAGAAAAGTGAATACTAAACAGAAAATGGGATTCTAAAAAAAAGCACAGAAAAAAGTTAATCTTACAATAAAACATCTAATGTGACCTTCAATACAGCGATGCTTCATCTACATGCACAACCTTGGAATAGATCTTGGAGAGGGAAAATATTGACCTTTCATTATTTTTGTACAGTATCCTACAATTTGAAATCTGAACTCAGCATTACTATGTTGCTTGACCTAAACAAATACTATTCCTACAGGAAGGTAGTCTCGTTTCAAAGGCAGAAAAAATGACAATTAACAAAGAACTCTTTGTTTTTGGTGCCAGTCCTGGGGCTTAAACTCAGAGCCTTGAAACTGTCCCTCTACCTCTTGACTTAGAGCTCTACTTCTGAGGTTTTTTTTGTTTGGGGGGGCAGTTTGTTTTTTTTTTGTTTGTTTATTAGCAATAAAAGTTTCACAGACTTTGCTGCACAATCAGGCTTTGAACCATGATCCTTAAATCTCAGCCTTCTAAGTTGCTAGGATTACAAGCATGAGCCACCATTGCTCATCTTAAGAACTCTTAAAACTTATCACTAAGAAAACAATGCCATTAAATATTGATTAAAGATCTTCTCTATAAATGGTTCTATTACTCCTCCTTGGTAGTGAGGTGACTAACATCAAAGACAAGAACCACTATAGAATATGTAAGCATAGAAAAATGGCACCTGCAAAACCACTCCTTACTGTGTGTCATAGGGGAATGCAAATTAAAACCATGAGATGAGAAAAATCTACCTATCCAAATGATATCAAATAATGATATCGCTTCAGGATGACTGGAGGCAGAGCAACAGGAACTCTCAGTCATTAGTCATTATTGGTGAAAATAAAATAGGCCTGTCACTTTGGAGGACAGTTTGGTAGTTTCTTACAAAACTAAAGATACTACATATACAAAAGAGCAACATTTGGTCCAAAGTATTTACCCTCCAGTAAGCTGAAAATGAGACAAGGAGAAACGGATGTGGGACCCTTGCTCACAGGCTCTGTAACACCGTCTTAATAAAATGGAAACACTGGACATAACCTTAAGTGTCTCATGATAAGGAAAGAAGCAACTACGGGATGGAGTTCTCACAAAGAAACAATGTCACTCAGAAAATGACGATGAAGAAAATGGAAGCTGTTCCCTCTGCTTTAAAAAAAATGATAAAAAGCAACAATCTATTCAATCTGGCTTGAATTTCTGAGAATGAAAAGACTGCAACTTTCACTAGACTATAGACAAATACATATATGTGTGCACACATATATATCTACATATATGTATATATACATATATATGTGGACACATATATATGTTCTTCTTTTAGGGAAGAGATTGAGGAAGCGGTATCCAAGGAAAGGCTCAGCCTGTAGACTGTTAGAGAAAAGACTACTACTACAACTAATAATAATGATGACGATGATGATGATAACAATAATAAAGCAGACACCAAAGGGTACAGAGAGAGAACAGTCAGTTCCTGACTCCTCCACCTGTGCTTCAGTGTGGGAGCCCAGGAAGACCGTGCTTTTCCAGTAGGGAGATGCTATGTCAGATAGTGTAGACCTCTGGGGAGCCTCCCAGGACAGTCAGCAATTCCTCATACAACTCCCATGAGCCCTTGTGCTATGCTTTGGACATGGTTCGTATCCCTCCCAAATTCATGTGCTGGAGACTTAGTACCCAGTGTAAGGTTGAGAGGTCACAGAATGGTTCAGAGGCAGAACCTAGTACCAAGGGACTGGGTCATGACCTCCCATGTCAGAGGATTAAAATTAGCTTGCAAGAAGGAGTAGGGTCTCCTACTAGGACATGAATTCCCAAGAGAACAGGCTGTCATGAAATAGTGATCCTGACCCCTCCCTGTCCTGCTGTTTCCTGACTGTCCAAGTGTCCTCTCAAATGTATTCCTGATGTGATATCATCTGCCATATGTGACAAAGCAAAGGTGCTTTCACCAGATGCCAACCATGACTCAACCGGTCTTTGACCTTCATCCTTTAAAACCACAAATTCAACAGACAGCTCTCCTTAAAGGTACTCAGCCTTAGAACTGAGATCTGATTAGTATCAGGTACAGTGAAACTCCAAAACTGAATTTAGCACTCCTGAAAAAGTGAGTGAGGTTTTAGAGTATCAGCATTTTTATGATTGAGAACTTTGGTTTGCTTTTAACCAGGGCTCTTTAGATACCCAAACAATCTTTATTAGCGGATGGTTGGCTGATGGGTATTCCTCACATGAAGAAAAAGTGTCATGTTGTTATAACAATGGAAAATGGGCTAAGGTACAATGTAAAATGAAACGGAGGTAACTGCCTGAGTGTCAAATCACACTTTGTGGCTCTTTTCATGATGCCCACTTAAAATCAAGGGCATGGGGAAGTTGTTCTATGGGGAGAACATGCATTACCAATGGGGTGGAGTCAGATTCCAGCTGCTCGGCTGTGAATGGTAGGCATGCTAGAAGCCCCCTTCTATCCTTATGATCAGTGCAGACATCATCAAGGGGTGCCATCCCTCAGAAAACAGTCTACATATTCACCATAAAATACAAGTTTTTTTTCTGAGTACTTTCAAACTGTGATTTGTTGAAGCCACAGATGTGGAACCCAAAAATTCAGAGAGTCAGTTGGGCTCATTTTCTCTATACTTCCATGCCTATGATAAAGTGACTCATTCATAAATTAGACACAATAATATATGAACAACCGTAGCTAATAAAAATGCATCATGCCCTATGACTGAGCATTGCTACTGTAGCAATACACTGTCATGAAAGTTATATGAGTCTGGTGGCAGAGCTCATGCTTATAATCCTACCTGTTCAGGAGATTTAGATACAGATGATCAGGCTTTCAAGCCAGCCCAGGCAGAAAAGTCTATGAGATTCTGTCTTGAGAATAATAAACAACAAGCAGGGCTGGAGGTGTGGCTTAAATGTTAGAACAACAGCCGAACACAAACTCCACAACTGCACACCATAAAAAAAATCATATGATGGCGCTGCCCTATTTTCCTGTGTTTGGGCTGCAACTGACTATGAGTTAAGTCAAACCCCTGACAGTGAATCTGAGGATCAGTGAAGGGGGCTGACATGTACCCACTGATCACAGAAAGGACTAAGAATGAATACTCAGGCCCACATTCATTCTAAGACACAACTAATGCTCAGATTAGACTCTTCTGCATCTGTCTGCTCACCCAGAAGTGGTCAGCACTGTGGGCACCAAAGAAGGAAGAATCACAAACAGCCATCCAGCTACTACTGAAAACTGGGTATCTGAAGCAGTGAGGTTAATCACACCAGTTCTCATACAATTATGATTTCTTTTTTTGGTTGGTCGTGGGGCCTGAACTCTGGGCCTGGGCACTGTCCCTCAGCTCTTCAGCTGAAGGCTAGCACTCTACCACTTGAGCCATGGCGCCACTTCCGGCTTTTTCTGCTTATGTGGTGCTGAGGAATCAAACCCAGGGCTTCATGCATGTAAGGCAAGCACTCTACCACTGAGCCACCTTCCCAGCCACATACAATTATGTTTTTTTTTTAACCTAAAACAATAATCCCCTTTCAGATGTGTTGGATTCAGTTTTTTAACTTCTGCTGTGCCTGGTACTAATGAGAACTCAGGGATCAATAAAAACACAGTGTCTGCCATCTAGCCCCTCTTTTTAACCATATCTTCTCACTGAATGCAGACTGGTCAATAAAAACATCAACCCTGAAAACATGCTTTCATATCTCTTAGTACCTCTTCCAAGGTGGTGTCTGAGATCCCATACCCTGTCAGGCGTAATTGCTGTAAGTTCTGATCCAGAGCCTGGAAGAGCCCCTTGAAGCAGGTCTTGTCTGCAGCCTCAGGGATGGTATAAGTCAGTTCCCCACCACTGCTGTCTTTGAGAACTGCTTGTGGAACATAGACCTGTATCAGGGATGTAATGCGAGCTACATCCTTGGCATCGTGAGCCTCTAGAAAAGAGGGCTAGAGGAAAGGAAACACAAACTGAGAAACCAATATGCAAGGTCAATGCAAACTTAAGTCAAATTGGTAGATTGTGTGTATGCTCCTAAGCAGATTATCTCAAAATTCCTCATCATACCTTGGGCAGAATACTTCATGAGAATAATAAGTACCTCAATGATACATGATATGCTTTCTCTTATTTCTTTTTTTTTTGAGTACAAATATATAATGATAAACTTGGTAAGTCCAGAACTCCATGTCCATCTTACACTGCATCCCGCCACCAGTGATCTGTGCTCCGGAGACACCCTCCACACCCCATACCCACGGCAGGAATCACAGACCATCTTCAAGCATTTGGAGTTCAGAAAAACAAATTTTCTTAAAAGCAAGAAAAGGATTCACAGCCAAAGAAGCAAGAAATCCTTTCAGGATGGTAGGTTATTCACCACTAGAGAGAAGGTAAAGAGAAAGAATAGCTCAAGGGAAAGCCAGGAAAGAAAGCTTTGAACTACAGCCCCAAGTATCTCAGCCTCCCAAATAGGAAAGATTTCTGCCATGAGCCAGCACTGCTCAGCTTCAGGTCAGATTTTCTTTTTTTTTATTTTTTTTGGTTATGGGGTTTGAACTCTGGGCCTGAGTGCTATCCCTCAGCTCTTCAGCTCAAGGCGAACGCTCTACCACTTGAGCTACAGCACTACTTCCAGGTCAGATTTTTTGAGGCTTACTAAAAACCAGACATCTTCAACAGGTAGAAAGTGACTCTTCTCATAGTTTCTGAATTCAACCTCAAAGCAACCACTGCTTATCTCCATGAATACCAGGAAATGATCCATGAAAGTCTGGCAGAGATCTGGTCTTTTGGATTGCCTCTGACTCTAGGACTTCACTGCTCTTTTATGACAAGATTCCAACTTCTTAGAGTATCATTGTCAAAATAAACATTTCTAGAATAGGTGAACCATCAGGATGGCTTTCTTTTCACTGCTTCTGTATTTGTAACCCCTCCTGTATTTCCTTCTAATAAAAAAAATTGTACTATCATTCATAGAAGCTAGCTCCTATAGCTCAGCCCTGGGAGAGGGCACTCATTTTGCCACCTGGGCATTGTTCATAACAAGCCTTCATTGAGAGTTTAGTTTTAGGCAATTGTCACAATTTGTTTGCTAGGTACTAGATAGAACTGGATTCCTCCCCCCCCCAAAAAAAAGAAGAAAAATTATTTCTTACTTGTTTTATGAGCATCAGACTGAGACCCTGGCTGTAAGCCTCCTTCAAGCAGAGAGGAGGCCCACAACACCTGAGCCTCCCTTGCTGGAGGATGGCCACACGGTCACTGAGCATCTCAGCTTCATCCAGATGATGGGTCGTGAAGATGATCGTACGACCTGCATTCAAGCAGAGAGCAGATCAAAACCAGCATGATGAAAGCCCTTAGATAAGCCATCTATCCATTCTTGTCATGGAAGATCTGAGTTACCACTGAAAGATAGCCACCCAAATGGGCAGTATGGGAAAGACTCAACTAAAGCCATTTTCTGCACATTCTCTATCCTTTCTTCCCATGAGGGAATAATTGCCATGACCTAAGGACAAGACTGAAGTGCAATGCATAAAATCTCTAGGTCCGGTAACTGTGATCTCAACAATTTTGATCACTTCATGGAGGTGAAGCTATGCATATGTGTGTCTGAATGATATACACATATGTATATATAATATAGTGTATATTATATATGATAATATATACTGATGGAATGTACATTCTATGTTATGTTGAATATATAACATATAATCTAGGTGAGGCATCATTCTCTTCTCTTCACAGATGGCCATTCATTCCTATGCATTTAAGAAGGCTATACTCTGTAGAAATGACAATACATTTTAAGTCCTATGTAAAGATAGAGGTGTCTGAAACTGCTATGGTGCTTTATGGAGATCCTTTTGGTTAAGGATGATGGAATAACATTTTCACACATCAGATATAGTAGGATTGAGACATGCAGTCTTTCCTTGGAAAAGCTCAAAGCAGCTGTTGCTTTTGAGTCTACCATTCATGACTTTCTAAATGGATTTTTTTTGCCTGTTCTGGGACCCGAACTCTGGGCCTAGGCACTGCCCCTGAGCTTTAGTAGTCCAGACTAGTGCTCTATCTCTTGAGCCACAGCTCCACTTTTGGCTTTATGTAGTTAACTGGAGATAAAAGTCTTATGGACTTTTCTGCCTGGGCTGGCTTCAAACCAAAATCCTCAGACCTCAGTCTCCTGAGTAGCTAGAATTACAGGCATGAAACACTGGTGCCCAGAATTAAAGGTTTTTTTAAAAAAAATAAATTAGAACCCAATCTGGGTCATTTAATGAGACTCAAACAGAAACAAACAAAAATAACCACTTTGCACTGTTCATCATTAAGTAAGAAACACACATGAAATTCCTGGTGGATAAAGCACAAGGTACATTGGTATTGTGATGGAAGAAATTCTTTCTACTTAGTGGCTAACATTTGTTGGTTTTTATTTCCAGTCTTAGATCTTTCTCAAAAAGTTCTATCAGTTGTTTGAAGCCGAAACTGTTTGCAGAAATAGCTATATATTTTGATTTTTGAAGACATATTTTTCTTTTAGTATTTCCTATCTAATCCACTTATACCTTATTGATTTTGAACTTCAATCAATGCAAGGACAATTCCAAAGGGGTCCTCCAAAGATAAAAACAAAAATTATTGCTAAACAACAAGGGACAGTGAAGAAATACCAAATTTGTTACAACAAAATTTGGGGAAAAAAACTGTCATTTTGTCAGATTGGCACTATCTCCTGTCAAAACTAACCTTTATGCTGATTACTCAAGCATTCTGTCACCAAAACCTTTATGGGTGCATCAATGATGTAAAACAAGCCAGAGAATTAGAATCACAGCAGTTAATTCATTCCGTTTATGGGAGCAGAGCAACAGAATCTATCTGCCCGTCTCTCATCTATCTTCTTTCTGAGGCCCTACACAGAATGCATGAAAGTATTAGTCTCTTCTAAGTTAGCTATATCTCAAAATGCAATCGATTCCTTTTTAAGTGGGATTAAGGATCTTGCATGGAAACTTCACATGTTGTCATTTCTTCCCCCTCTACCTGTGGCCCCAACGGGCACTTAGGTAAATGGAACTGGGAGACTTAGGGAAAGATGCAGAACCCAAAGGAATCACAGAAACCCCCAAAGAGTGTTCCCTAGGTGTTCACCTGAAGGCCACACAACCCCGAATCTGTCAGACAGCTCCAGTCCTAAAGCCTACAAACCTGGGAATTGCAAGCATACCAGGCCTTGATGTTATGTTGGGCCCCAGTGGCTCATGCACCCTGCTGGGCGCCATTCACTTGGCTCCCATGCTCCTCATGCAGTCACCCAGCCCAAGTCATAGTCCATAATAGAACAAAGGAACCATGTCTGTTTTGCTCAGTGTCCCTGGTTGCTTCTCTGTTTTCTTCTGTAATTACTCAAAACTCATGAAATAGAAGTGCAAAATTATTCCTTTACACTATCCTTTTATTAGGCTTGTCCCTTCTCATTCTAGCCCATGGATAGACTTTACTGCAGACTACATCATCTTTTCTTCTGTAAGAATATAATGATCTCAATTGTCTGCACTTAGGACAAAGTCCTTCTTGCTTTTTTTCTCTTGGCTTTTCTTTACTAACAAATTCTGATACAGCCTCAGGGAACTGAAGACTTCAGGCTAAGTTTAAAAACAAAACAAAACAAAAGTCTTACACTCAAAATGCAAAATAAATAAGACAAAACATTTTGTAGGATTCTTCATTAATCATATCTCTATTATGCCTGCTCCTATTTACTACAAGGGATGTTGTCCACAATTTTTTTTTTCCAGACAAGGATGTTTCTGTAAAAAAAAAAAATATATAGCTTCCTTGCTGTCTGGACTATGGGAAGTCAGAACTTACAAATGAATAGCTGCCCATCCGGGGCTCTCGATTGTAGTATGTAATAATGAAGAGGAGAAATAGGTACTGTGTATGTCAGAGATGTGGTTTTCCTCCTTCGCTTAATGAAAAATTTCTACAGGGGTCAACCAATCATACGCCCATCTTCCCATCCATGCCCCAAAGGGCCATATTCTTAGTTGACCGTAGGTGGTGCTATCAAGTGGTGGCTTTGTTACCACGTGGGTCCTTTCTAGAGGGAAGTTAAGTCAATGAGGTGCCGAGAAGGGACACTGGGACTTCAACCCCTTCCTGTCTCTCTCTTTGCTTCCTCCTGTTTATGAAGTGAGCATCTTTCTCCCACATAATGTACTATGCGTCCACAAAGTAACACAGCCAAACTACCTTGGACCCTGCAACCTCTGAAATCATGAAGCGCATCTCAACTTTTTCTCCTTAGAAGTTGATTTTTCTCACGTATTAAGCAAAGCAAAATAAAGCTAACTAACCAAGGAGGGTTTGTCCTAAATAATCTCCAATGTCTCTCTTTCTAATAGACAATAGGAACTGAATGAGGAAAATAATGATTGTAAGTGATACCATCTAAAATAATATTTATTCATAGTGTTCTTGCTAATGCCAAGTTAATGAGTCAAACACAATCCAGGCCATTCTGAGCACTTAAACATTTAAATATGCCTTGTAATCTTCTGGAGATTTTGCTTTGAAAAAGATAAGCTATCCTCGTTGGACTATGAGTTGGTACTTTACATACATTTTTGTGCATGCATGTGCCAATATTTGGGCTTGAACTCAGGGACTGGGCACTCAGTGCCCCATAGCTTTCTTTTGCCACTTAGTTCTACCATGTGAGCCACACCTCTACTTCTGGCTTTTTGGTGGTTAATTGTAGGTAACAGTCTCATGAACTGGCCTCCTCAGGACCCTCAGATCTCAGACTCCTAAGTAATAAAGAACTATAGGCATGAGCCACCAACACCCAGCAAGAGCCAAGCTTCTCTCATGCCACAACACTTGAGGTAGGGAAAGCTCAGTGAGTGACAACTCTTACCCTCCCGGTACTTGAGCAGAATGTCCCAGATGCTGCGACGGGAGCAAGGATCCACCCCACTAGTGGGCTCATCCAGAATCACGGTCTCCGATGTGCCCATGAAGGCAATGCCAATGGATAGCTTCCTCTTCATGCCTCCAGATAGGGCCCAGATAGGTTTGTGTTGATGTTTAGTTAACCCCACTTTGTCAAGAGTTCTGAAACAGAAAAAAAAAAAAGTCACTCTTCTTCCTGAACACATGAAAGCTTCACTCTGAATTTCACTTCTTGCATAATAATTTACAGTGCAGGAGATCCTCATAAACCCCAGCTACATCAAAGGGATTCTGGTGTTACATATGCCTGTGAGCCTTGATGCAGCACTATTGACCTTCTCCATGGGCAGCTGACAGCAAGCAAACAGGTTGTGCGTGATACTGGTCATAGTATCTGCCAAGTAGTTGTGTCTCATCTCTCCAGAGTTTCATTTCTCCTCTTTTTACTCATACTCTTACCAAAGAGGGACCTGGACCTGAAGCCTATTAGGCATAATACTGTGAGATCATTAGAATAACTGAAGCAGAAATGTAGTAGGAAGAAGCAAAGCTCCAGTGTCCAGCAAGCTTTTAACTCTTGACCCACAGCATGAAATGAGCCTTTTTCTCTCTCTTTCTCTCTCTGTCTCTCTCTGCCATTTCAGACATCTAGAAATCACAGAGTCTGTGTGTGAAGCTTTGTCCTCCTCCCCTGGATCCACTCTCTTTTTTCCACATATAATTTATCCTCTTTTGTGTCACATACCTGCTACCAACTACATGTATATTGACTCTCTACCACACCTGCTCTCGATTTTGCACATTGTCTAAGACCATGCTTCTCCTGGTTATTCAGCCCATGTGGACTTCCTTCCCCTATTACAGGCCTGCTTTTCATTTTCAACAGCAAACAACCGAAGGACAACTCTCAGTCCAAAGGAAAGGGGATAGACAGGAGCAAGGCAACCACAAGGGTTCCTCAGAGTTGAGCTTCAAGTATATTTGTGCCAAGAACAGTTGTAGAATTCTACAGAAAGACTGGGATGAATTGAAGGTTTTCCTTGCCTAGGGAGTAAGTACATTTTTATGTTTGTTTTATTATATCTACACTTTCCATCCTGACCCCCAAAAGAGTTCAAGCCAGCTTCTTGGTGTCTAGTTTTCAGCCTATTCACTTTATGGTTGGTCCACGTATCAGAATTTATTCCCACTGCTTGAATCTCAGCAAGCTAAACACCTAGCAATAATCTACATCCTCTTTTCAAGTGTGACCATTGGAAACAAGCATCCAAATAAAGGAGAAGGACCGATGGTTCATTTCCATCAGATAGCTGCCTTGACCCGATAACTGCCAATGCCCCTTCACGTCGATGACCCAATACAACAGATGGCATGAATCCATGAAGCCCAATTTGTACACATTAATCAGAAATCAGTCAGGAAGGGAAGGCAAACAGATAAGAAAAGAATTCTGTAACTTGTCAAATGTTGTCAAACTTGCATTTCTAAATCAAACAAGTCCTTCCTCTTTGTGTTTCTTCCATTCATACCACTCAAAGCCTTTATCTTAACATCTGTTAGCCTGGAACCAAGTGTAGGTGGATCCTGATGATGTTCACTTGTACGCATGACATTTTATTCAATGTTCATGGAGTCAGAAGACTTGATTAGTTCTCTAGGGAAGACTGTGTCACGAGGATCTTGAGCTCCTGAGATGTTGTCTGGGAATGGCAAAACTGTGTGGGGCAGGAAGTAAACTCTGGTGTAAAGTTACATGGTTCAGATGCTTGAACTGGACTTAAGATTAGAGAAGTCAATTCACAAGCATTGGCCAATGGTTTTATTTGTTTATTTTTTCTGTAAAGTCCAGGGCTATATAAGGGCTCATGTATTTCTAACCATTGCTCTATAATGTACCAAAATGGAGAAAACTATTTCTTTGAATTTGAATTTCCAAATTCCTTCTAAAAGAGCCAGGAAACCTCTCTAATTAAGAACATTGCTAGGCAGTAGTGGAAAGAGGAAATATTTTTTTTCCATAATAAGTCCCAATTACGTGGTAGGCAACGTTTTAAATACTTCTGTTATCCATTCATACTGAAATGTGTAACACCTACAACCTGATAAGGACAGAGAAATAAATTTATCTGTGATTCTAAAATCTCAGTGACAGGAAATGAGAATAAAATACAAGAAAAGTAACAGTAAAGTACTGAAAAATGTACCAGTAGTGGTAAAGATTCAAGTGTTCTGATTTCAAAGAAAAATAATATAAGACGTCAGCTAGATGTATAGTGGGACTTGTAAAAGGAAGATGTTGAGCAGTGGGTTCAAAGAAAAGTAAAAAAAAAATATTTTCTAAGACTTAAGGGAAAAATTAGGATATATATATATACAAAACAAAAGAATCTGTTCTTGAAGTAAAAGCAAGAATACAACAGAATAGTAAGTCAAAGGACAAGGGGGAAACCCAACACAAAAGCAATATACACAAGCAATATGTTGGAATGATTTGTACAACTTCGGGGGTGGGGTTGGGGGAAGGGAAGGTAGAAGAAAATGAGGGAAGAGGCAACAAGTTTGACAAGAAATGTACCTATTACCTTACTTAGGTAACTGTAACCCCTCTGTACATCTTCTTGGTAATTAAAAAAACATATCTGGGACAAAAAATATAAGGAAGAATACACAGTAACCTCAGATAAGACAGGACTGTCTTTTGGGTTTTACCCCAAACATACACTCATCACAAGTCCTCTCATATGACTGCTGCTGCTTCCTGCTTCCTTGCCAAGGTCTAAATGCAGAGCAGGAATCCCATCATTCCTTATAATCACTTTCAGTACATCTTTCTTCACCAGCTCTAAAATTCCCAACATTGGACCCCAGGTGATCAGGCCGACTATCCACTACCCTTTTGTTGCTGGCACCCACCAAACCTTTAATCTGCCTTTGTGTACTGTCCCTCTGTGCAGTTTGATTCTTATATGCAATAGCAGGGGTTTTAATGGCCAATGTAGCCATTGTCCTATCCCCTCCACTCACTTCATTATGCCCAGCCGAGGTTTGTCATACACCTGATTATTTTCACAAACCACTGGTCCCCCTGAGTTCTCAATGTTATCTATGCATCCTCTGTGGACCAAATCTTTTTTCTCAGCAATCACTTAATTGCACGAAAGTCCATTTTTCATGGTCCTTCATGTACGTAACAATGTCATCTCATCTCATCATCACGTTGGTGTATCCAGGGTTCAATCCATCCCTCATCCCCTCCCCCCTCTACATAAGCTAATCTTGTTACTAGCATGCCAATTTGAACCCAACCTAATTGAAGTTCTATGATGTACCTCAGAATTCTATATGGCAACATTAAATACATAACAACTTCTCCTACACTCTAAGACGGAGGACATTCCACTCGACTTCTCTTGTTTTCTCTAAGCCAAATTAAAGGAAAAGTAGTCACGATCTGTCTCTTAACTAAAGATTCTCAGATCCATTGCCTCCTTTGAAGTCAAATTTTAATGAAGCCAGACATTAAGTAAAACAAGCACTCCTACAGGACACTAATAAGAAGCATGTTGACTCCAAATCAGATGTTTGCAGTTTTCCCTCTCTCTAATTGAGAACTACTGTCCTAAAACATGATCCTGTTCTGATTGCTTTTGTGCAAATTGGCTTGGTTGCTAGGTAACACACTATGAACTGATAACCATTAAGGTTGCCTGGCACATAAATAAGAAGTTGAAGTCAATGTAGCATTGTTAGGTGCTTGATGGAAGCCCCAGTCACAGTCACCAGAGTTCACTATAACACCATTTTTAAATTAAATACAGGTGACCTGTGACTTTTTCATAGAAGAAATTAGATGGTGCATAGGTAATTTACTATCTAGTAATCTGTAGACAGCTACAGTACCTAGATGTTATATATTAAGTACCCACTGAAAGATAGGATACATTTAAGTAGTAGAAAGTAAAACATGTTCCCTATATATTTGAGAATCTACTGCATTTATGTTATTATTATTATTATTATATTATCAGCCATTTATCAAGATACCATAAAATACAAATTAGCCCACCCTGTAGTAGGAGATGCCTTTATAACATGCTGATAAGGTATACTTTAAGACAGGCAAAACAATGAAAGGACTATTTAATAAAACTTTGTGGTATAAACACCTCTCTACACAATGGCCCCTTGTCCTTTGAGGATTCTTTTTTCTCTGAGTCCAGATTTAATTTGCATTTGACCCTCACCGTGTGAGCATCTGTCCAGGGAGACATTTGATTTGTCTACATGTACACTTGTCATAGCTGGTGTCTAAACCCAGCCACCTATTTCAAATTGAGATCAAATAAACAAATACTGACTGATCTCTTCCAGACATGGAAAGATAAAGCTGTGATGCAGCAGAGCATTTCTGGAGAAGCCGTTTGTCATTTTCCAGCGCTGTTTTCCACTAAGGGATTGTCAGGGTGATCCACATGTGTTTTGTACCTGATGTTCTTTCTTAACTTCCTGTCCCTCAGGAATATGTGTCTCTACCAGATTTAGGCAGTGTGATCTTTTTGTTTGTTTGTGTGGTTTATGTCTAACAAAAGAACTCCTATATCACTGCCAAGTTTTGTCCCCGTAAGCTTTCATACAGGTAAGTAGATTTCTCAGTAAGGTGAACTTATTCAGGTGAGAGTCTTACGGAGACCAACACTCCACAGGCAGTTTCAATAAGAAGACATAATTTCTTTCTCTCCATGCAATTTCCTGTGGTATGTAGGAGTTTGCACACCATGACCACAAGAGTGCTTTTTTAAGCTCATGTTACAGGCATTTAGTAGAATCAAAGCGAGCAATTGGTAACAAAACACTTTCACTTCTCAAAACTAATGGAACCCCCTGATAGATGCCAACTCTACGCTTGACAATATTGGTGGCAACAAAACTGAAAAATGTGCTTGAAAACTCCTCTTCCTTTTCCCAGCACATCTCAACTTCCTAGAGGCCTCCATTCATCCCACACAGGCAAACAGTACTCATCCTGAAGGAAACGCCAGCATGTGCACTGGACATCGGAGAGTCCTAAGTCAGATCTTCACCCCTGCTTGAGCTGCATTGGCCCCAGATCCTTGAGCCTTTGCTGCCTTATCTGAAAACTGGAGACTGACTTTCCATCCTTCGGGAGAGAGAAACTCACCAACCACGTGATCGTCCCTTCAATATCTTCTTTCACTGGCCTTGAATCTTTTCTGCTCACTAGTATAAAGCTAATTTTCTGTATCAGCCCTAGCCCACGGATGAGGACCAATGGATCCTCATCATATCATATCATCCTATGTGTCCCCTTCTCTCCACCTAGGCTCCACAATCTTTGCATTATCGACACAGAGTATTCTTCACAGTGTAATGTGGCCCACGACATAGACTTCTATTCTTGCACCTCTTGTCCCAGAATTATGCTGAGGGCTCCCTTCACCTCTGCTGGTGGTGATGAAGAAGCCAATAATGTGGGCTGTGGCCTCTGTGTGTCCAGCCACACTGTGGCTCTGCCACCTGCTGTGATACAAGATTTTTATCTTAAAGACCACAGAGCAATCACAGCACTTTACTGTACCTACCTGTATGATAAAGTTCCAACGCCTCAGCATGAGGTTTTTACAATCAGCTATCCTTCCTGACTTTTTCTTTCTGTTTCTTTTCTTTCATTATTATCTTTAAGTAGTTGTACAAAGGGGTAAACATTCGATATGTCAGTTTCTAAGTGCAATATGTCATAATTAATGTAACACCTTTCATCATTCTCCCCCTTCCCTCCTAACCATTTCCCTTCCCCTCAGTTTTCCTAGTTTCATAGGTTATGCAGTGAATATTATGATGGCATTCTCCGCCATTCCTCTCTTCCTTTGTCTATAACCCCCCTCTTTTAGTAAGATTTTATTGTGAAAATACTGTACAGAGGGATTACAACTACATCAGCAAGGTAATGAATACATTTCTTATCAAGAATTGTTGCCTGCTCCTTTGTTTGTCCCCTACCATCCCTTCCCTCCCATCTCCACAACTACACTCCCCTCACCCTGCCTAAATGGTAAAGTTCATTTTTCAACATAGCATCTCATTTTTGCAATGGTTCCACCTGTATCCCTATTTAAACAATTTGTCTTTCCCCTTCCCCTCTCCAAATTATACCAGCATCAAATACAGTGAAAACAGGAGTTAAACCATGGGGGAGGGACATACAAAGCATCAAAAAAATCACATGGTACCTTATAAATATGTTAGAAACAATAGCAAGAAAGAAAAAAATCACTTGTGTTCCTATCTTGGGGTTCATTTCGCTTAACATCATCTTATCTGACCTTTTCTACTTGTCTCAAACATATACTAGTTATTGCAAGTAAAGGAAACCATGGGACCTATGTTTCTTTGGGTCTGGCTTACTTCACTTAATATATTTTGTTCCAAGTCTTTCCATTTCCTAACAAATGGGTCAATGTCATTCTTTCTGATGGTGGCATAGAATTCCATTGTGTATATGTATGTGTGTGTGTGTGTGTGTGTGTGTGTGTGTGTGTGTGTGTGTATCACATTTCCTTGATCCATTCATCTACTGAGAGGCATCTGGGTTGGTTCCATTTCTTAACTATGGTAAATAATGCTGCAATAAGCATAGTTGTGCTGGTAGTTTTAGTATAGTCTTGTTTATGATCATTTGGGTAAATGCCCAAAAGTAGGATTGCTGGGTCATAGGGGAGCTCTATGTGGGGTCTTTTGAGGAACCTCCATACTACTTTCCAAAGTGGTTGAACAAGTTTACACTCCCACCAACAGTGTAGTAGGGTTCCCTTCTGTCCACATCCCCTCCAGCATCTGTTGTTATTAGAGTTCTTGATTATAGCCATTCTAACTGGGGTGAAGTGGTATCTCAATGTTGTTTTGATTTGCATTTCTTTTATGGCTAGGGAGGTTGAGCATTCTTCATGTGCTTATAGCCATTCTTATTTCCTCTTCAGAGAAGTTTCTCTTTAAGTCTATAGCCCACTTACTTATTGGGCAGTTGTTTCTTTGAGGATCTGTTGTTGGGGGATTTAATTTTTTGAGTTCCAGGTATACTTTAGATATGAGACCCTTGTCTGTTGTATGGCTAGTGAAGATCTTCTCCCAATCCGTGGGCTTTCTATTATCTTGCTAGCTATGTCCTTTGCCATGCAGAAGCTCTGCAATTTCATGCAATCCCATTTGTCCAACCTTTCTTTGATTCGTTGTGTTTCTTACCCCCTTTTGTGCTCCCCCCTCTCACATCACCAACACACATCTCAAGTACCAGCTTCATGATATTCATTTTGTTGGGTTGTAAGTGAAATACATCATTTGACTTCTCCCCTGCATTACCATACTTCGGTTAGTATATTTGTGTACACTTGCATACAATCCCAGTAGGTATTTACTTGTATATTTATAAATTAGATCTGACTTCCATGTGTGAGAGAAAGCATGTGTCCTTGGTCTCTCTGAGCCTGACTTACTTCACTTAATATAATTCTCTCTATTTCACGACAACCATAGCATCTCTTTTCCCCTGACACACAAAATTTCTACCCACAGCCCTCCCATACTTTCTACATTGACTTAGCTCTTTCCTACCTCCAAGAAAAATTAAATTAAATTTAGTATTTTTCTAGGACATGCCTTCTCTGACTTTCCCAAAGAGGCTTGCTAATTCATAATTTCAAGGTTAAGAACCATTTGCTTTTGTTTTCTCATAAATAAAGCAGTCGATAACGTGTGTGTGTGTGTGTGTGTGTGTGTGTGTGTGTGCGCGCGCACGCGCCCATCTTGAGACTTGAACTCAAGGCCTAGGTATTGTCTCTAAGATTTTTTTCTCTCAAGGCTAGCACTCTACCACTTGAGCTACAGCTCCACTTCCTGCTTTTTTTTTTTGGTAGTTAAATGAAGATAAGAGTCACACAAACTTCTGTGCCTGGGCTGGTTTAGAACTGCAATCCTCAGATCTCAGCCTCCTGAGTAAGTAGGATTACAGGTTTAAGCCAACAGTGCCCGGCTACACAGTAGATATCCTTGTTGTCTTCACGTATACCATCGGGCAAAGACAGAAAGAACAAGGCAATCACATGTTACTAACTTATTGACTTGCTGCTGTAGTTCCTTGGAGGTCCACCAAGGTGCCTTTATGGAAGCAAAGAGCAGCAGGTGTTCTCTGACAGTGAGGTTGTCCAGAAGAACGTCCCGCTGAGGACATACCCCCAGCTCCATTCTTATTTGGGACAGGTCTGTCTGCAGGTTCTTGCCATTGACCAAGATAGTTCCGGAAGTGGGGGGGTAGAGGCCTGTCAACATAGATCTGCCAGAGAAAACATATTAGCATAAATTACCTTCTGTGACTGTTAGTGATCTAGAGTGGCACATACATCCTACAGAAATGACATCTTTTACTGTTCTGCTTTTTACAAGGTCAATTATAAATTGTGAGGAGTTTATATAAATATTAGCTGGTGAGTCTTGGAAATGTGGGTTCAGAATAGTGTCTAAATCCCAGGGAAAACTCTGTGGTCACAGATCCCTAAAGTTGTGTCACAGTTTCAGGTAACAACCTAAGTGTATGTTTATAGTGGAGTAAACAACCTAAACGATTGACACATGTGCAGAAGTTCTCCTACCAATGTAAGATAACAGAAATGTCTTCAGGAGTCCAAGCTCACACCTGTAATCCTAGCAGCTCAGGAGGCTAAGATCTAAGGATTACAGTTCAAAATTGGCCCAGGCAGGAAAGTCTGTGAGACTCTTCTCTCCAATTAACCCATAAAAATAAATATGACAGATGAGTTATGGTTTTAGTGGTAGAGCACCAGCCTGGAGTGCAAAAGCTACTATGAGATAGCATCCAGGCCCTGAGAGCCTACATGAAATAAAAAACAACCACAAAAGAAAAAAATCACTAATGCCAATCTAGACTCTCAACCTGTAGCCTATCTTTTCTCTGCATCCCCAGGCTATCTGTTCCTGCCAAAACCATGTCAAGGGGCCAATCACCAGAAATTCACTCATGTGACTTCACAAAAACAAACCTGAGAATTGTCTAGTTCTATTCCTTAATGAATTTATTGTGTCTATTTTAAACTTATTTCAAAACAGGTAAACCTACACCTACCATAGGGCCTAGATAATCCACTCCTAAGTATTTATACAAGAAAGATTAAAAGGTATGCCAAAACAAAGGTGTGTACAGTTCATAGTATGCCAATACAAAGGTGGATACATGAATGTTTATAGTAGCTTTATTCACAATCACTGAAAACTGGCAACAGCCTCAATTAACATCAGGAGATGAAAATATCTCTCTGTGTATAATACAAAGGCTCTCTCTATATAATGGAATACCACTTAGCTTTCAAAAGAGACCACTCTGCTGCTAGACTTAAACTACAGATGAACTAGGTGAATAGTAGAAGCCAAGCACGATTCCATAACCATAAGTTTCTAGAATATACAAGCTAATTCACAGTGACAAATTATAGATCAGTAACTACTTGGAGGCCAGAAGAATATAGGAAATATTGAAAAGGCAAATGTTCCTAATCTTCACTGTGATGCTTGGTCTAGCGTTAGTCAAATGTGCCAACCTCAAACTGCACACAGACAAGGTATAGTTCACCACCCAAGAATTATACCTCCGTAAGCTTGAGTAACAGCTATTTGCTGTACTATTTTTTAAAAAAAAAAACCTACATTTGTGAGTAAGTACAAAAAAGTCTAAACATTTGTTTCTTGATATCCTTGGGGGCTGGTTGCAAGAAACCAAACTCCTCAGATGTTCAATTATCTTATAAAACATGGTATTTACCTATAGTCTATACAAATAATCCATATACTTTAAATCATCAATAGATGACTTATCATACCTAATATAATGTAAATGCCATGTAAGTAGTGGTCATATTGTATTGTTTAAGGAAGACTGTTAAGCAAATGTTGAACATGTTCAATGCAGATGCCATGCTTTTTCAAATATTTTTTATCTTATATTGAATAAGTCTGAATGTAGAGCCTGTGGACACAGATGGCTGATGGTACATGCTATGTATGAGTCTCAGTGATTATTGTTTGAAATAGTAAAGATCCAATTCATTAATTGACCTTTCAGACTCTAAGCACTGCAGTAAGACGTAGCACTTAAGATGATTCAAAAGGAACTTCAAACATACACTGAAAGCAAAACATATTCAGTAAAACTTGAAAAATCAAGAAACTCAAATTCGGTACTTACTATTCTGCTAGATAAGTAACTATATTTTTCCCAGGTAAGAAATGTGTATTAGTAAAAGAAGGATGTAGAATGCTGATTGAGTTATTACATGCACATTTAGAACTTGCAACACTAATGGAATGCTTCAGGAGGTTTTTGGTTCTATTTTAGCATCCAGGAAAAAAGAAAAGTGTTCCTTTTATGTTTTCCTCCTATTTCTTTCCAATATGAAATTGCTGTCATTTTCTATTTTTCTACCTTTCTTAGTAAGATTTGAGACAATGATCTTTTTATTGCTTACACTAATTATACATTAATCTTAAATATTTCCTGATGACACAAGCAAGAATTAAAAATGACTTGCTCTAAAGAGCTACTCTATAATTACGGAGGATTGCCCATAAACAGAGTGCAGCTTCCACAACCAGCTGAAGGCCATGAAATTTTCAACTCATTGTTTCTCTAGAGTCCTATGATTGGATTATTTAATCAAATCTGGACCTACTGGGTCCTAAACCAAATACCAAGACAATAATCAGACAAACAAAAACATGAAAAATGTAGTTTAATTTTTTTTAATATTCATCATCTTTCATGTTCCTATAGATATAAAAGTAAAATTAAACTTCATAAGACAAAAACTAACAGGGTCAAAAAGAAGTCTCAAAGACTAAACATCATGTGAATTATTTGAATAGTAAAGCAAAATATCAACCCATGCATGCACTCAAAATCTACTTAGACCTAAAATCTATCTGGATAGTTGAGGACAAGGGCAACTCAAGGGAGAGAATTCTGTCTTCCTCCTGTGTCAATAAAATCTGTTCTGAGAAGAAAAGAAACAAACACCAGGGTATGGAATGGAGAAGGAGGTGGAAAGAGGGAAAAACAAGAATGCAAGAAAGAGAAGAGAGAAAAAGAAAAGAGAATGGAAGGGAGGGGAGGGAAAAGGGGGAGGGACAGGGAAGAGAAGAGGAAAGGGTGAGGAGGAGGAAGGGGTGTGGAGGAATGGAGGGCTGAAGGGAGGAGAAGGGGACTGAAAAGAAGAGAGAAGAGAGAGGAAAGGAGAGGAGAGGAGGGAGGAGGAGAGAGACAGAGTTGGGGGGACACAGGGCCAGGAGGAAGGACAAGAGAGGAGGAGAGTGGAGGGGAGAGGAAAGAGGGGGTGGGGGCAGAGAGGGGAGGAAGGATGGGAGGGGAGTAGATGGGCAGATCTAAGTAGAGATGGGAGAAGAGTCAGAGAGAAGGGGAAGAAAGAAAGGAGAGAAGGGGAGAGGAGGGGAACAGAGGGAGTGGGGAGGAGAAAGAAATAAAATGGGAGAAGTGAAGAAGGGGCAGGCAAATGAAGGGAGGGGTGTGATGGGAACAAGGAGCAGAGGGAGAAACGACAGAAGAAATGAGACCTCCACATCCCTGACATGTCAACTGACACTGCTAAGCACCAAGGGAAGGGGAGGGAATTGGGACTCACATGATGGTGGTTTTCCCAGCACCATTGGTTCCCAACAAGGCAGTGATCTGGCCTCTGTGGAAGGTAAGGGTGAGGTCTTGAACAGCCAACCTGTGGCCTTCATATTCCTTGTTCACAGAAACCAGACTAACTCCAGGAAGGACTCCTTCAACTTCTCCGGCCTTGTTTTGGTGTGTTGCCCCTGTACAGAACATGTAAATTCTCTGTGAAAAGACATTGAAATCAACCCATTTCCCCCCTTAAAATTCTCTGTGAAACATGCCAAACACAAATCTCTCCTTACCAAAAGCAAAGGAGCAAATTATATATTAGCAAAACTCAAGTGAGACCCATGATGACAAAGCTCTAAATCCTCATGGCAGGAGAAAAAGTGTATAAAGTAATAAAGATAAAGACACAAATGTGGATTTGTGTAGATGCAGATAGAAAATAACCATCAGGTTCATTATACCATAAACATATATAACCCATACTCTCCTGAGGTTAGAGTTGGTGTGTTCTAACTTTGCTAAAACATTCATAGTTTACTTGCAATTTCTAACTCCTGCTCTAAAACCACCATGACAGGAGCTTGTTCACCCACCAAATGTTCAATTGCCCCTATGCCTGGCCCACGGGCTGGGGGGCTGGGGGGGTGGGGGGCGGGGGACAAGGGGTGGTGGGAGACACACATCTCCTGAATGTCTTTTCACATCCTGAGACTGGTCAACATTTGTAAGCAGAAGTGTCTCTCACAAAAGCAGCACCTAAACTGGTATGTGTGGCAATGCCCTAAGAAGTTTAGAGTTCACCTTTTAGCTAACTACCTTTTTTTTATTTTCTTTGTACTTACTTATTTTTGGATTGGCATACTTAGAGGGTTTATTGTTAAAATAAGCACTGTGACCATTCTGCAGTTCCTACTAAACATTACCAAGAAGCAATGTCTCACAGCTTAACCCTATTTCATTTCTTGGCCCAAGACACCTGGAAAATGCATCTCTATGAATTGGTACAGAATTATAAAGGCTTCCAAGAAATGAAAATCAAGAATCAAAACTGACCAGAAAAACATATACATCCAATCATACTACTTTCTACAAACCTTTGTTGCCAAAGTTTTCATTGGAGAAGAACAAACTAGAACTTTGAGAATGCTGCCGTTTCTCCATCAAACCACATATATTCTTCCAATAGGATGCCGTAAAGGGGAAATACCAGGGTTTCTGTAAACCAAAAGTTCCTAATGAATGAGATACAAATAAAACAGAATTAAAATTAATTATGACTTTTCTATGTAACTAAAATTCTGTAATAGACTACCTTAATGATTTCATGTGAAAGGTAGTTTTATTTTTATTTTATTTTTGTTGGTCATGGGGCTTGCCTAGGCATGGTCCCTGAGCTCTTTTGCATAGAGCTAGCAATCTAACACTTTGAGCCACAACACCACTTACTTCCGGTTTTCTGATAGTTCACTGGAGATAAGAGTCTCATGGACTTTCCTGCCCAGGCTGGCTTTGAATCATAATCCTCAGATCTCAGCCTCCTGAGTAGCTAGGATTGCAGGCATGAGCCACCTGAGCCCAGCAGAAAAGTAATTTAGTGTTAATACTTTCAATGTGCAGCTGTTCACAAACCAGTATTACCTTGGGGGCTCTCATTCTCCCTGAATGGCTTGAGCCAAGACCATCTGCTAGGACCCCTCACATTGATGTTCCCCAAAAACATCTTCACAAATGCTGCATAAGCCTGAGTGAATAATTGCTGCATATTTCCCAGAGTAAACCTTGTGCCTGCTTCCTATCCCCACTTTCTTCGCCTATCTTTGATGTTTGCATGCAGTTCTAGATAAGAGAAAGAATATGAAATACATGAAAGAGCAAATCAATTAAAACTTCTACAAAGAAGAATAATTCATATTGCTAACATTTCCATATGAAACATATTAATATTCCTCCAATGTCTTCTCTAAATTCATTTCAGTCCACTTAGCAATCATTTTCACTTTATTATATGTCAAAATGAAAGCAGATTTAATTATTGCACTTGCCATTTTTCTTTAATATATCTAGCCTAGCCTAAGTCTGATGAATACAACTTACCTACAAGCTTGAATTCTTTAAGTAAATGGAATTTTTAAAGGCCTACATGAAGACTAATTCAGTACTTTGAGCATTAAGCAGAAGAGAGCCATGTAAATGCTTATACATTCTCATCAAAGAACATCTAATTTAATGAAGGACATAGTCCTTCATCTCTGGACTGTTATTGGGTCTGGTTTTGACCACTAGTTACAGATTGATTTGTTGAAATCTAAACTTACAGTAGAGTTCAGAATGTGACTGGTTTTGGTAAGACAGTTTTTAAAGGGGTAGTTAATACAAAATGATGGCATTGGTGAGCCTTGATCTAATATGGATGATATTCTTTTTTTTTAAAAAAAAAAAGGAGACTAGAGCTGGATGCCAGGAATTCACACCTATAATCCTAGCCACTCAAGAGACTGAGACCTGAGAATCATGGTTTGAGGCCAGCCTAGGCAGGAAAACATACTTCTAATTAACCAGCAAAAAGCTGGAAGTAAAGCTGTGACCAGACTTGAGCCAAAAAAATGTTTTTAAAAAATTCCAGGCAAGAAAACAAAGCCCTGAGTTTAAGCCCCAGTATCAGCACATACACAAAAAGAAAATATGGAGACTAGGACAGAAATACACAAAGAAAGCAGATGGGCAGGACAATGCAGTGAGATAAAAGCTGTCTCTGCTACAATCTTACTTTAGATTTGCAGTCTTCAGGACTATGAGACTATAAATTTCTGTTAGGAAAAGCCATCCAGCCTTGTACTTTCCTATGGCAGGCCAGGCACAATTACTTTAGGCAGAGTATCCTGGAAGATCCTATCCACTTATCCCTTGTTCTTTTGTGGGAACATGAGTAACCCTGGACAATTAGGTCACATTATACCAGTATTCTAGTGACTTTTCTGGTCCAGGCATTGTCCATGGGCTCAATTTTTATTTACTTTCACAGTCTGTCTGTGACCACACATGCATCCAATGCTGTCATCACCTCTGCCTTCCCAATGGAAAGGAAGGGACAGACAAGATTTGTACAGTGACACACAAGCAGCAGCTCTAGAAACAGTATACTGGCTGGCCTCTCCTCTCAGCTCCTTAGGGGAACATCCACATTCAGCATCAAACAAACTGGATTACTTGCAAATGAGCTGTTCTTGCCTCAAACAAGCAGAGAGACACACGTCATCTTTAGCATCTCATTCTCTTGAACATCTAATTATGTGATCTATCTCATTCACACCCATGCATGAACAATGCATCTGTGGAGATGAAAGAAGATAATAAATACTTCAGGCAAATATTTCTGTAAATTCTGGCTATAATGGTTGCTATTCCTTGCTTATGAAGCAGAATTTTGCTGCCAGGAAGCTTGCAGGTGAGCATGCACAATCACCTAAGTTGAGCATGAGTGAGCATCACCGTTGTGTGAGAAAGTCAGTGAGAGAATGTGTTGGAAGGTTTATAGAGGCTGAATTAGTAACTAAAATACTGGGAATCAACATGGCAAAATGATTAAGTAAAAATGCATCTGAGTATAAACATACAAGACACAAATTTGTTAAACTTTAAAAGTAGAAGAAAAGTGCAAGAATTATTATTTTCATTCTGATGGAGGATTGGAATTCCATTGTGTATATATACCACATTTTCTTGATCCATTCACCTACTGAGGGGCATCTGGGTTGGTTCCATTTCTTAGCTATGGTAAATAATGCTGCAGTAAACATAGTTGTGCTGGTAGCTTTAGTATGGTCTTATTTGTGATCATTCGGGTAAATGCCCAAAAGTGGGATTGCTGGGTCATAGGGAGCTCTATGTGGGGTCTTTTGAGGAACCTCCATACTACTTTCCAAAGTGGCTGAACAAGTTTACACTCCCACCAACAATGTAGTAGGGTTGGTTCCCTTCTGTCCACATCTCCTCCAGCATCTGCTGTTATTAGAGTTCTTGATTTTTGCCATTCTAACTGGGGTGAGGTAGAATTTCAATGTTGTTTTGATTTGCATTTCTTTTATGGCTAGAGAGGTTGAGCATTTCTTCATGTGTCTAATGGTCATTCTTATTTCCTCTTCAGAGAAGTTTCTATTTAAGTCTTTAGCCCACTTAGACAGTTGTTCTTTTTAGGATTTGTTGTTGGGGGTTGAGTTCCAGGTATATTTTAGATATGTGACCCTTGTCTGTTGTATGGCTAGTGAAGATCTTCTCCCATTCCATGGGCTTTCTATTGATCTTGCTAATTATGTCCTTTGCCATTCAAAAGCTCTGCAATTTCATGCAATCCCATTTGTCCAACCTTTCTTTGATTTGTTGTGTTTCTGGGTCTCTGTTAAGAAAATTTCGGCCTGTGCCAAGAAGACCTAGGGTTTCTCCTATTCCGTCCTGTAATGTTTTCAGGGTGTCTGCTTTGACTCCAAGGTCTTTGATCCATTTGGACTTGCAGGGTGATATATAAGGATCTAGCTTTAGTTTTCTACAAGTAGTTAACCAATTTTGCCCGCACCATTTACTGAAGAGGCTGTCTTTCTTCCATTCTATTTTTTTTACCTTCTTTGTCGAAGGTTAGGTAGTTATAGGTCTTTGGGTTCATTTCAGGATCTTCAGTTCTATTCCATTGGTCTTGGTCCTGTGGTCTCTTCTTGTCCCAGTACCAAGCTGTTTTGATTACTATGGCTTTGTAGTAGAGTGTTAAATTTTATTGATATTCCTCCAGCACTACTGTTCTTTCTGTTAAGGATTGTTTTTGCTATTCAAAGTCTTTTATTTTTCCATATGAATTTTTGGATTGCTTCTTCTATTTCCTTGAAGAATGAGGTTGTAATACTGATAGGTATCACATTGAATTTGTAGATAGCCTTGGGAAGTATTGCCACTTTCACGATGTTGATTCTTCCAATCCAGGAGCATGGGAGGTTTTTCCACTTCCTAAGTTCTGCTTTGATTTCCTTTTACAAGTTTTTAACGTTCTCATCATAGAGGTCCTTCACTTCTTTGGTTAAGTTAATTCCTAGGTATTTTATTTTTTGTAGGGCTATTACAAAAGGAGGTGCTTTCCTGATTTCAGCTGCACTCTTCTTATTGATTTTTGAGGGTTAATTTTATACCCTGCTACTTTGTCAAGTTTCTAATCAGCTAGAGTAATTTGGGAGTGGAGTCCATGGGACTCTTTAAATACAAGACTATGTCATCTCCAAAGATGGAGTTTTACTTCATCTTTCCCTATTTGGATCCCTGTATGTTTGCATCTTGTCTTATTGCTGTAGCTACCCATTCTAATACTAAATTGAAGAGAAGTGGAGAGAGTAGACATCCTTGTCTTGTTCCTGAGTTAAGAGGAAATTGTTTTAGTTTTTCACCATGAAGTATAATGCTGGCTGTAGGTTTTTGATACACAGCCTTTATTGTATTGAGGAATGTTCCCTGGATTCCTAGGTTTTCCAGAGCCTTCATCATAAAGGGGTGTTGGATCTTGTCAAATGTTTTTCTGCATCTATTGAGATAACCATGTGGTTCTTATCCTTGCTCTTGTTGATGTGATGAATTATATTAATTTATTTGTGTATATTGAATCAGCTGTGCATCCCTGAAATGAAACCTGTTTGATTGTGGTGTATGATTTTTTGGATGAATTATTGAATTTGATTGGCCAAAATTTTGTTGAGAAGTTTTGCATCAATGTTCATGAAAGAAATGGGTCTATAGTTCTCTTTCTTTGATGAGTCCCTGTCTGATTTGGGGATGAGAGTTACGATGGCTTCATAGCAAGAGTTCAGTAGTGAACTTTCTCAGAGAGATATTTTATACAATGGCTTTCAAATATTCAGCTATGACTCAGAGATAATCATCAACTACACACAGGCATGCACATGTGCACACACACACACACACACACACACACACACACAGCAATTTCAGGAGTCAGTAGACACCTATCATAGAGCTAAGATAATGTTTGTTCCTAATGACTACACCCTCATTCACTCACTGAGGTACTCAGTCCTAATCTATGATGAGAGATTGATGAGAGATGCTTTGCTGAGGGGAAGATTGGGAACACTTCTCATGTAGGTAAGAAAGGAAGAACCTCTTAATCTCTCATTGGTAACAGTTCTACTAGGTCAGACCCAAAAGAACAGGACAGGTGAACAATCAGGAACATGACATATAGCCGAATGACACATGGATCCAGAATATCCTATGCTTTGTTTTAGTCTTCCCCATTTTACATCCTCCTGTTCTAGAGAGATGTCTGTTATCACACACAGCCCTCTGGTAATACAAGAGCCGCACAAATGAATCAGGCAGAGTCCTTACCATCATTTGATTTTCATTCTAGTGGTGAAGACCAAAAGTGCCACTGAAAAGAACCTAATATGACAGAGCACTATAATTGCAGAATTTCAACCAAAATAATCCCTTTAAACTGAGGAAAAGTTGAAGAAAACTAAAGCAGACTGTGGTAGAGAAGTGTTGCTAGATTTAGTGAATGCCAACACAGGATGCCCAATGGAGTTTGAATTTCAGAAAAACAACACACAATACCATACTGTAAGTATATCCCACAAATGAGTATCAGTATATCTGAAATATGAATTTAACAAGGTGCTCTTATTTGAACTTGCCACCTTATGTGGGAGTATCAGGTTTGTCACAAGTTCTTTAGTCACCAGGAACACTGAAACAGAGAGAAAGGCATGATGGGATGCCAAAGAAGCAGCTTTGGACCACTAAGGATATGTAGCAGTTTGGAGCAGGAAAGGCTATTTCGGGAAGGAGAGGTTAGGATACACCTGGATGGATTTTAAAACTGTAACTTTGTATCAATATGGAGTGTAGCTTGCAGATCTGATGGAGGTGGAAGGAATCCTGAGGCCCAGGAAGGAGTTATTGGGACCCAGAATGGTCCAGAGCAGGAACAATGAAGCCTCAAGTAGTTCACCACCTTCCAGGACAGAAAGGAAGGGCAAAATAGGACAGACCTTCCTTCCAGAACCAGAAAGAAAAATTCATGATAAATTGGAGATTTAAAGTTAGTGTTATACCAGGTACCAGTGGTTAACACCTGTACTCCTAGCTACTCAGGAGGTTTAGATCTGAGGATCATACTTCAAAGTCAGTCTAGGCAAGAAAGACCATAAGATTTTCATCTGCAATTAGCCACCAAAAAGCTGGAAGTAAAAGTGTGGCTCAAGAGGTAGAGTATTAGACTTGAGCAAAAAAAATAGCTAAAGGATAACACCCAAGTCCTGAGTCCAAGCTCCAGAACTGGCACCAAAAAATATTTGAAAAGAAAGAAAAAGTTGATTTGCTAGTTAAGCCATCTTAGGCATAATCTGTCCAAACTTTTTAAATTCTCTTAATTTATTAATCTAACAGAAGTTAAGAGCTACCAAACCCATGCAGGTAAGGGCTCCAGCTCCTATCTGCAGTTTTTTCTTTTTTGCTTACAAATCTAAATTTGCTTTCTGTGCATACTCTAAAAGCACTCGAAAAGACCCCAATTACGTCACCAAGTGTAATTGGGTACACTAATTTGAGCAAGGACCCTGTGTTTGTACTGAGCTTTACTTCTCCAGGGGAGCTGCCTGCTGGATTAGGAAGTCAAGAAATTAATTAGCTTTGCCCTCATCACAAAAACCTGACAGTGATAAAGGAAGATGTCAATGAAATTATGCAGATCAAGTGGAAATAAATTTAATTGGAAACACATAAAGAAAAGTTCCTAAAACACAAACTCTTAGATGTTTGCTCATGAACTCTTGAATAGAGCAAGGGGAACTGCTATTGGCACTAAACCCAGCAGGCTGAGTGCTTGCTGATTTTCCATCATTAGCAGATTAAAGAAATGCTAGGATGATCTTTTCTGTGTAGGAAAGAAAAGAGAAAGTAGAGAGAAAGCATGGATGTGTGTGTGTGTGTGTGTGTGTGTGTGTGTGTGTGTGTGTGTGTGTGTGTGTGTGTGTGTCTGTGTTCACTCTTCAATCTAGGGAGACCATCCTACCCACAGGACATTGTCAAATACTGATTCTCAATTTAGTGATACTCTCAATGGTACTTATCTATTTACTATTTATTTATTTGAGATTTCCCACATTAGAAACCAACCTCAAGACAGCCTTTCTGTTCTCTTTCTATTTTGGTTTTGGTTGGTTGCTCTGCCCATAGTGGGGCTCAAACACAGAACCTGGGCACTGTTCCTTAGCTTTTTTGTTGAAAGCACTCTACCCCTTGAAACACATCTCCATTTCTGGCTCTTTGCTGATTAATGAGGGATAAGATTCTCAAAGACTTTCCTGCTGTGGCTGGCTTTGAACTACAATCTTCAGACTCCTGAATAAGTAGGATTACAGGTGCAAGCCACCATAGCTTGGCTCAATCTTTAGTCTTGATTGTAGAAAATATACAAATAGCCAAACATACTGCCCTAATCCTTTTCACTGTTAGGACACTGTGAGCATGTGCACTCTGCTGTGCCATCATCATCAACATCATCTCCACAAGCAGCAGCTCTTCCTCCACTAAACTGTTCCTCACAATTCCCCAACACCTCCCACCCCTGCATTCTTCTGTCTCTACAGATTTCATTCTTGAGGGACCTCAGGTAAGTGAACTCATGTGTGTCCTTTGTGCCTGGATTATTTCATTTAGGACAAGTCCCTTGAGGTTCATCCATTTGGTGTCAGTTGCCAAAAGTTCCTTCTTTCTAAAGCTCAATTTTATTCCATTATCTGATTATGCTATATTTTGTGTGTCCATTCATTTACCAATTGATAGATACTTGGACTGCTTCCACCCTTTGGCTCTTGTGAATAAGAATAATGCTTCTATGAGTATAGATGCACAAATATCTTTTAGGTCTTCTTTACAGTTCTTCTGGGTTCAGTCTTCTGAGTGCCTTCTGACCTTTCACAAGTAGTTTCTTCTTGTGAGATCATTTTTCTTTTCTTCTTTCAAGAGATTATTCCAGCAATTGGCTCACATCCATAATTCTAGCCTTTTGGGAAGTTGAGATTAAGAGGATTATAATCCTAGGCCAGTCTGGTCAGTAAGGTTCACAGAAACCTCCTCGCAACCAACAGGCTGGATGCAGTAGAGAGGACCTGTCATTCTAGCTATGACAGAGGCTAAAATTGAAAGGACTGAAGTTTTAGGCGAGCTTAGGCAAAGAAAGCAAAACTCCAGAATCAAATAAGCTTTTACAGAATCTTCTAGAAAACCTATATCTATATCATCTTTCTACTGCTCCATTAGTCGTCTATTCTTCCCTAGAACATTGTCTTTGTAAATCTTTTCAGCTATGTGTCTGGGTGACTAATCGCTGGTGCCCAGGGTCACCAAAGCACAAAGAATCAGAAAATTAATGAAAACCACATCCTATGGAAAGCCAAGGGTGTAACTTAAGAGGAGCCATATTAATCTATAGGCTCAGGATGCTAACTCATCACTGGAAAATGGAAATTTGACACAATACCAAGAAGTAGCATAGATATAAGAATGGACATGAGGAAAAGCCAGAAGAAGGAAAGAGAAAATGTCAGGGCATTTCATGAACCTGAAACACCTCATTTTTGCCTGGTTGTAAAACTGAGTAGAAGATGCTGCAGGTATCAGAGAAGCCAACTTCAGACTCTACAAGGGGAGTGGAGGCCTCATTTCTAGTTAATTCCATTGCCCTGTCCTTCCCATGTAAGCCATCTCACCTGTAGGAACAGTATTGTGTTTGTGGAAGATGAGAGAGCAGAGATAGTAAGGGGAAACAAAGGAGGAGGCAACAATGCTTGATAAGAAATGTACTCATGGGGCTGGGAAGGTGGCTCAGTGGTAGAGCGCTTGCCTTGCATGCATGAGACCCTGGGTTCGATTCCTTAGCACCACATTAGCAAAAAAAAAAAGC